GACCTGCTCAACAACTGAGTCAAGCCTACTGCAAAAGTCATAGGACCAAGATGCCATCACTGACACACTTTTCACTCTTAAGATAATTATGCCATCAGACAGGGCAGATGAGCCTGACTAGCAAAACCTGCATCTTTATAGTAAAGGCCTTCAGAAAGTCTGTCAGTATGACTAATCTTTTCACAGTAAGCAAAGCTGAACATATCCTAGGTTCTCCTAGAAACTAGAAGGAGTTCCTCCCTCCTAATATTGGAGAGGTGTCAGCTCTGCGTGTGGGAGAAATCAGACCATTCACAAGTAGAAACTTGTCTATACATTTTACAAGTAGCATAAAGATTTTGTGGTCTGTCCAAGCCCACACAGATACACTACGGAAAAGCAGAATTTAAAAGTTAATTCTTTGTATTCAAACCTAGTGCTTTAGACATCAGATAGACGTTTACTCTTCAGCATATTTAAAACGTGAAATGCAAAATGCTTAAAAAATACTGTCGTTGGCATAATAGCACCAGACAACAGTCAGCTAGTCAGATTAGTCAAACTAGTTTCATAACATTCCAATATCCTTGTCCTGATACAAGCATCAATAAAAGAGCATAAAGCTGATCATACTTACAAAGTGCAGACATTTCAGTGACTGCACTCATTCTCTTTACTCTGAAAAAGCTTAGGGGACCATCTAGCAATTTATTGGCACTGAACACCACACACAAAAATTAGGATCTCCAGGTCTGAACAGATTTTCACCTACCAACAGAAAAAAAAAATCCTATCAAGGCAAGCAAACCATGACTAGGAACACAACTTATTAAGAATTTGCATACGTTCAGTAATATCTGGGTATTGCACACATGTATTCTTCCAAAGATAATAAACAAAAAAAGTTAGTGTTAAGTTTGGGGGCACCTGTAAATCCGGAAACCTTGTATGGATACTCTAATGGAAAAAGCGAACGGGCAGCAGCGTTCTAGCACATAAGGCATATTCTCCATGCACAGAACAGACAAATCCTTTTTGCTTTTTACATTTTCAACTGAAGTTTTTTGACCCTTACAAAAGAAAAATAACAGAATCATCACCAAAAATCTTCCTTCTGACTCAGTATACGCAGTGACTGATAAGATTGAAGATTCAGTTTTAATGTAGCTATCAGATCAAGAATGAGAGAAAACATGAGGTAGAGTATCTGAATTCTGTCTGCAGCTCCAGAATATTAAAAAGCTTCTGCCGCAATAATCAGCGATGAACTAGCCAACAACGCTGATGAATAATCACAAAGTGACGCTCCACTGGTGAACGTGACTTTTTTAGTCTATCCTCTAGACTGTGTCTGCAGACTTAGTAAGAGAGCACTGCACACGTCCAGCATCCTGCTGTGTAGGAAAGCCATCCGAAATCAAAGACTGACTGCAAATGAGTCACTCAACCTTCGCTAAGTATCTACGTCATCTTAGCGCATCTGAACGTAGAACACTCAGAAATTCAAGTCAGTAATACATAAAATTGTTGCTTCCTGTTGCTTTCCCCCACCCAGGGCACCAAAGAGTAAACCCTGCTCCCAGGGACTCTGGGGATACAATTCCAACTTGTGTCCTAGGTAAACGTTGTTCTTCCTTGATAAATACATCCCACTGACTTCTCTAGCGGTATGAAATCAGCATTTTTATATATTGTGGCAATATTTAGGAAAATCTGTTTTAAAATATTTCCCTTGCTCCTATTTTAGGTTTTATTCACTTTTTTATTTGCCTGAAACTCCTAGGTCTGGGTTCCCTTCTTTCTGTTCTCCTTCCGCTAATTTTTCACCTCCTTGACCTCTAAAGCCTGGTTCCCCTGTCCTCATGGAGCGGAATCCAGGTTATAAAGTCCAGTAGGAAATCACCTTACACTCTAAGGCAAAGGCAGAAAAAACATTATTTTGCACCTTACTGACTTAATATTGTTTTTGCCTTGTAACTGGACTAAAACTGAACTACAACACAGTAAAAAGATTCAATCGCAGCAAAAGCAAGGGAAAGCATGAAATAATACTTTGATCAGCTGAGGAAAGGTTCATGCCATAGCTCTCAAATGTTAATACAAGCAGTGACCACGAACAAGTTACGGTAAGGCACTTTCCTCATATAACATCTATGAGCAGTTCTCCCAAATCCAGCTCAGAATTACTTTCTAATCTTTTAGAGATTTTTAAAGGATGTCCGCTGCTACTAACAGCATGAAAATAACATCCTAACAGTGACAATAGCATGCTATTTTCACAATCCTATTATTTTCACACTTTAAAGAATAATCAACATTATTTCCAAGGCAAGTAAAACTAAAGCCCCATTTTCAATTGGGGGACTAAGGTGTGGGTTCCATGTCAGTCAAAGATACTATTTCGAACAGCAGCTAATGAATTACATACGTAAAAAGAAGCTTCATCACCACAACAGGGAGAAAAGAGCAACCTCTCCTTTCCTTCCTCCCACTAAAAAAGAGGAGGAAATCAAGATGCAAAGTTGTCCTTGAAAAAGTTACATTCTTACGTGTATTATAGATTCAAGGCAGAAGATACAATTAGGATGGATTTATTTCCTGTAAAAACATATTTCCCTTCAAGACTTCTTTCCAGAAGACATTAGCATCAGAAGCATCAGAAAAAAATTCATTTCATAAAGCTATGGAGAGGCAGAAGCTGCTATACTAAGCTTCCCATTGCAAAGAATCCAGTTTTAAATGTAACATACATACAAATAAGGACAAACAGAAGACCTGGCCTGGGAAACAAAACAAAAGTGTTTACTGCAGACTTGTTTATCCTGAAGAGATCTGTAAAACATATTCCTGAGTTCCTCTGTCCCATCCCCCAATCCTCTTATTAGCAGACATTCTCTCCACAGCTTTTTTATTACACTTCATTTCCGAAACCCACATGCCAGTACCATTCAGTATGTTTTAGCAGCGAGGTTACACGTAACTGTACATCTTTTTCTCCCACTCAGGAAAAACCTTTAGAAAATGTACATAAACAGATGTTTCAAGCAGTCTGCAGACAAGGCAGTCATCTGTTTATATACGCTCCGTGCAGGAAATATTTTAACATTTTCAAAATTTATGACAGCACCAGGCATTTCAGTTTCTATCAGTTTTCAGCTTTTCCAAATACTGTTTATTGTTATTTACATGCATAAAGTCTAATCTGATCTAAACATTTATTTCTCAATTCCTAACCCCATGTCATTAATGTAGCTATAAATTAAAAAGCACTACTAAAGTTATTCACAATAAAAAAGAAATAACTTAAAAACAAAATCGTACCATCTACTGTTTGATCTACTCTCGATAGTTTAGCATGGGTATCTGTTTGTAATCATTAGTTGTTTTTCATATGCTTACCGTGCCTTTCCCTTCTATTTCTCAAAAATTAGAAAAAGTACAGAAGTGAGCTATGTATAGGGAAGATAATTTGATTTTATACAGTGCCCTTCATTGTCCAGCTGTCCCTAAGCACTTTACAGAACAGCAAGCCTCTTCGATGTAACCACCATACGGGCAAACGTGGCAGCTCTTCTGCCCTCTACAATAGCTCACCTGTAACCAGAGTAATTTCATACCGAGAGGCTGCACAGGAGTCCAAGACACTAGGGAAAACATTTAATCAATTAAAAAAAAAAATAGCCATTACATCTGTAGATACAATGCACACTGTCTTCGAATGCTAAAAAGTATGGCAAATCAGTATTGTAAATATACGTTGGATGTAATATACCTCCGGATTAAAAACAAAACAAAGAGTAGCCTTTAGTATCTGAGACTTAGGTTACACTTTTTCATCCCACGCCTTACACCTAATCCCTATGTATAAAACAATACAAAACCCCTTGCAGATGGGAGAACTCACGATTACTCAGAAGTGCTGAGGCCCCTCACTGGTGTTTATACACGAAGCAGCATTCTAGAGCAAGTTCTCTAAAGCAGAAAATTAACTCCTAAAATCAAAAAAGCACACCCTGAAGGTGAGGGTTTTCTATTAATAACATTCTTTATAAATAAAAGTTAATCTTCTATGTCAAGCCCACAGCCTGTATTTCTCAGTTTTCTATCTCCCACTTCCATCAAGTGTCAGCAGTATCAAGCCTTTGCTCAGTCATTGTACAAACTAGACAATGCTCACCTCTGGTCTCAGTAACAGGCGGCGTAAAGTTGTCTCTCTGTATCATTATTTCCTCTCTTTCTACTTAACTTTTTTTTTCCTTTTCTTTTTTCTTTTTTTTCTTTTTTTTTCTTTTTTTTTTAAAGAGAACACTGTGGGTACAGACAGATCTGACATAATCCTGCAGCAGAAAATATGGCAGACATTTTTACTGTGAAAACACAAAGCTCAGTTCTATACATTTTATTAACTTTGTCCCACTGTATGCCTTCAGGCATACACAATTCTAAAAATGGAAATATTCCATAAGGAAAATTCTTCCTTTGTGACGAAACAAAGAAGTTATCAAAACAGGATGTACTACACAGAGCACATGTGCATCCTTATTTCAATTGTTACGGCATTAGCCCTTCCTAATTGAATTACTTTTTGGAGTGAAGTTGTATTTGCTTTTTAAAAGCAAACATGCTCCACCCATGACTCTATGAAAACATGCAGACACTCAACAGGCACAAAAAAGAATACAACTCAGGAAAACGTGCACAGTTGCATATCTGAGTACATGGTAAGCTGCTAAGCCCATACCATAAAGATTACTGTCTCTTTGAAAAGGATTACAATCATGGTGGACAGACAAGCCCTGAGATGCAGATTAACACAGCCTCCTGTGCACTTGATGACTGGATTATTCCAAAATCTGGAGAACAAAGGTTGAAGCCACCTCATCTCCCATCTCTTTTGATACTACACTTCATGAGTGGATAAGAGGAACCCTGGAGTTTTAAAGTTCAGGAATAAACAAGTAAGCAAGCCCTCCTCTTCTCTCTCCTCCACCCTGCACAAAGACAGCCACAGAAAGGAAACATAACTTGATGATGTCAGTGTTTATTTACATGATAGAAAGTTCATACAATTTGAAAAGTTGTCTCAACAGGAATCCACAATTAGTGCATTTGCCTGTGTGTCTTCAAAACTCAGAAAAAGAGGGATGATTTAAGATTTGATGACGTGGCTTCAGAACATTTTGACGATCACTTGGGATAAAAGTGCCAGGCATCAACTACAACAAAAAACACACATCAAGATTGGCATTAATTCTATACAACTAGCCAGATACAAACACTTCAAAAAGCAACATTCTACCCTTTCAACTGTCTCCCCTCGTAATACAACTCTTTCGGGTGAACTCTATCCCCAGCCTACATAAAGCACGTCCTCAAAACAAAAGCCCTTCGTTTTCATAGTTTGGCTGAAACTATCCTACAATGAGTTACAACATTGACATGACCACCCCTAGAAAACATCAAAGATTAGGCAGACTATGTTCAGTTGTCTGTCACATGTCTGAGATGTAATACTTCAGTAAATAAATGCTATTTATTGGCATGCCATTTAAGGGCAAATGGAATGCAACTTGCTTTCCCATGACATGGGCTACACAGATGTTACTTTGCAAACAATTTGGAACTTGACTCATGACTAAGTCTCTTAGAGTTTCTGTAACCCCCTCCATCTCAAATACTGCATACATTTTCTCTACAGAGTTCTTGCCAGTAGAAAAATGTCTTTTTTTAAAGCAGTTAACAAAACTGAAAATCTAGGATGCAATCTTATTTCTTGACTAAAAACATATGTTCTGTTAACACAAAAAACCAATGTCATCAAAATGAGTGCATTTTGATTTAAAGAAGTACATCTGAAAAGTAAGTATGGCTACGTCACTTTTAGGAAAAGGGGCTGTTTATTTGATTCATTAGCTACCATGAGAAATGACAAAAAATAAGGTAAAGCAACCTTTCTCAGTTAAAAAGTCTGTGTCACGCATTTGCGTTCTCTGATCAAAGTGATAGAAAAAAAATATTTAATCTTCTCATCTTTTTATGTAGACTACATATAACAGTAACCTTCTCCCATAACCAGCCCTTGAATTCCTGTCCACAATCTATTTAACATGGGACAAACATGACAGTCTGACAAAATATAACCATTATCATCCTTCTCATGTGTACTTTTTTCAGTAGGACTGTTTTACGTCAATTTTTAAAGCAAACGATTTTAAAAAGTCATATGGCATTTGGGGTAAAAAAAGAGTATACCTTCCGGGGAAACAGAGTCTCCGCTCACAGGCACTGGTGCCTAAAAAAAACAATAACGTATTAGTTTTTAAGTTAAAGTTTCACAGGTAGTGTCAAAACTCAGAGCTATTTTACTCTGAAGAGATTAGGTCTTGATTTTGATATCAAGAGATATTATAAACAAGAACTTTCTGTAGGCCCTGCGGGGCAATATTCTACGCTTACAGACCTTCTACCTTTTCTTTTTTTTTTTTAAATATCCATCATACAAATTCCTTTGTTGTTCATAAATGACAAAATATACACACTAACAGTGAGTGACAGATTAATACCTTATCTAACATAAAGAGAATTTTCCTACTTTACTGTATTTGAGGATCACAGGATTTGCTGTTTACACACCAAAGAGTAAAAATGCCTTTCCAGTTACGTTACTGTACATACATATTTCATTGTAAGGCATGCATGTGGGTATATACACACAATTTATATTACACAGATTCAAATATTTTAAAATAAATATATAATTATAGTCTTTTACAACTACATTTTGACAGAGGAGGAGTCAGTTCTGTGGAGAGCGACAAATTCTGTTTTAAAACGTAGGTCTGTAGGTCCAGGTCCATTTCTCAGCAAAGTCTGGATACAGCAATATTCTATCACAGCATTACACAGTGTATCCTGTTCTTTTACTTAAAGCTAAGGGAAGAAATTAAAGCCAGTTTTAACACCAGCTGGACCCGATCTGCCTCACAATGAAGATGCAAGTGTAGTCACGCCAATAATAACAATAACTCTCCACTGTGCTTCCCTCAGTTCCTCACAAAGAGGCCAGTTCTCCAACTGACATAACTGACGGGGAAAGAAATAGAGGGTATCTCGGCACAAAAGATCGTGCAACACCCACGCCCCCACACAAATCAAGTGTAAAAACTGGGAAGACATTGGCCTTTGCTATGACAGAGGCCCACCTAAGCTAGGCTTACCCAAACAGATAACCCTGGGACAAATCACTTAGGTGAACTGTCCATCAAAGAAACAGCCTCAAAGACAGGGTTTACAGCAGTTTGAAGCTTCAGGAGAACAAAGCTGTGCTGTGAACAATACTGTCTTCTAAATTTTAGGTGAAAAACACTTTCTGCCATTACTAATGGCACCTAAAGATATTAAATAAAGACTTTGCAGCACTTTGCGGACAGCCAGGCTGACCCGGAAGCTGTGCAGGAGGGCTCAGCACAAGGCAGAGCTCAAGCTGAGCCGTGCCAGGGTGAGATTCTCTCGTGAGCATGGCTACTCTGAGCACGCACAGGGCTGCCCCCCCAAAACAGCCTGTGAGGAAGGAGGGGAAAAACAGTCGTCGTCTTCCTCCTGCTTTACCCACAATAATTAGAAGTGCACAGAGGGGCTACGTGACTAGTCTGCGGTCAAAAAGAAAGCATGTGCCAGTGTGATGAATGTAACCCAGGTCTTCCTGGTCTCATCACCAAACCATCCTCTCTCTTTTCAGCGTTATCATAGCCTTTCCAGCCTTAAACATAGCCTTATCTCATAAGGCAGTGAGAGCCAGCAGTCACGATGTACAAAAGGTGCCTGCCACTGCTGGGATAATTGCTCAGAAAGTTTAAGTTGAGAACTCAAAGAGGACCATCTTCCCATCAGGAACAGGTCAAACAAACCCATCCCACTGAAACAGAAGCCTCTGCACTACAGAATCCTTTCATTTGGGGCACAGGTGGAAAAAAACCAAACAGTACCTTTTGTTTCACAACTGGCCACTGAACAGATAATTCTGCTTCTACTAAGTCCTACATGGACATGTCCTGATAAAAAAAGCTGTAGGGAGAAAGGCAATTAACAGATCTCCCTGCTCAGATCTGGATTATTTTCAACACATTAGTAAATGTACAGGTTAAAATTTTGGTAGAGATTTTTTAAATTATAAGGAAAAGCCAAATATTTTCCCCCAAGAGATTTTTCTCTTTTATCAAAGAGACTTCATCTAGCAAAGCTTTCCTAGTTCATTTTCTTTCCAGTATTATAAGGGAAGAATTATGCGATAAGTCTGAGAAACACTGCTCTACTAACTATATATAGATTGCCTTGGATGTTTTCCAATTTAAAAAGTCCTGAGTGGCTTCTTCACAGAGCTAGTGAGGAAGCAGCTCTCGGGATTAATGTTAAATAAAGGTTTGGCTGTCTTGGTCAGTTTTGCAGGTGGCAACACTTAGAAGCCTGAAACAAACAGTACATCTTAGCACTAACATATTCAGCTACAAAGCTGCATTCCTCCAGGGTTCAGTTCTCAACGTGTTCTAACACTGGAGCTGAGAAAGAGATGAAACCGTTTTCAGATGCTAGGAAACACCAGAAACTTTCACTATCTACAGTTTAAAGTTCCAGTGGCTGTGTAGCTGCAGGGAGGCTGGCGTAATTCTAGGTAGTTCAAAGGTTCAGTACGTGTCCTCATACGCACAGGTTATCCTCTGATCTCATTGGGATTGACGGGACGTGGCAAATTCCCCAGCTGCAGAATTATTCCTGATTTGACACTAATCACTTGACACTGCAACACACCTTCTGTCCTGAAAGTAACTCAGTGCAGTGGAAATTCCCCAACACAAACAAGCCATTTTAGTCCCACATCTGTACAAGTCAACTTCTCCGCACATACTCAAGAGTTTGGTTGTCTGCCATTTGTATTTCAAGAGTATCTTACTGCACGCAATTTCCAATCTAGAGTAACTTGAAAAAGTAAGAACAGGATGTAAAACAGGACTGCATCTTTTCCCTGTTTAGAAAGTACCAAAAGACAGTCACCTACGTAGACGCAATTAAAGTATTTAGAACGTACCGAAACAGAACGATGGAAAGGAACAGGCATGACAACTTCACAATAACAGTAATAACACTTAAAGAAAATAAGGTGAGGCACAAAAAGCCAGAAAATGATAACATTTGATAAAAAGGCAAACATTCGTAAGACATTAAAGTTTGATGCAAAGTATGGATTTTTGTAAAAATATATCCATAACCTTCCAAAAACTGTAATTTGTAATTAAGAGGCAAAATGATGGATACTGATGGTTTAAACAGATATTTACTTATATGCTTCGAAGTACAAGCAGCACAGAACACACAAAAGGAAATATTCCTTTGCAGATTTGTCACTGTCCAAAATAAGAATATATTTGAACTTGAAATTTTAGTTGCATTTAAACATCCATTAAAAGTTATTGTAAATTTGAAAGTAGAGGGGAGGTATTTGCTTATAGCCGTGACTTACATGGCTAAAAACATATCTGAATACCAAAATGAATTTTTCTTTCATACACAATTTACAGTCAACATGGATCAAAACACATTCACAAGTGCAAATGCCAAGCTACTTTTAAAGAAACGCTGAAAGCAACACACCAGAAGAGGAAAAAAGTTCAGTGTGACACCTCTTTGTGTCTTACAGTAGCTTTTTACAAGTGACAAAGTCTTATTTGCTTATGACAAAATGCCACTCAGGATACCACCTTTTTACTAGAAACGGCAGTTGGAATCTTAACTGCACAGACAGTGGATGTTGTCTCCTTTGAGACCTGCACTTGCGTAATTACTGTGACTATTGGGGCAAAACACTGACAGCATACAACCCTAGTTAGTTAGCTACCCTGGCAGCCACGCACATGTGCAAAACACTTGGCATGCTCCTGTGGTCATGGGCACAGGCACAACCACAGAGTATGTTAAAAAAGGGAAAAAAACGAGCAAGTACTTGGGGGTTCTTCTCTTCAGGTAATTTCCGGTAACTTTGCTTACATTCTGGCATCCAATCCAGCATATTTCAAAATGGAAGAAGTTCTCCTTCAGTAGCATTTGCACATGAAAACATCAGACCTACAGGACATCTTTCTCGCCTAAACGGGAAACCTGAGTCTTTTAATTTTATGTTAATTTGCAGAATATGACAGGCATTCTTTAAGAAACATTCAGAAAAGCAGCCCCCTCTTTTATAGCAATGCATTTAATTATGCAAGTAGACAAACAAAGGATGCTTTTAGTGATTAGGGACTACAGTCAGCTAGTCAATGAGTTCTAACACTGGGTGGTAACTCATGGCAACAGGGGAGACAGAGAAGACAGCAGGCTAGATACAAATAGCAGTCCATCTTGCTATTCAGGATCAGAAGAAACAGTGCTACAGAGGGGGGGGGAAAAAAAGAAAGAAAGAAAAAAACCCCAGTAGAATGGTAATGAACCTGCCAGAAAATACAATTGGACCACTGCAATGAAAGGTTTATATTATAATGCTTACATTTCCCCCACAACCTTTGTGCTCTTCCTTTTAATTAAAGGAAAATTTAAGGCATAAATTAAGGACTATTTCAGTTTAGCTATTTTATGTCTGTTTTGGAGCTCTGAATCTTCTTTTCCTATGAATCAATTAAAAAAAGAAAAAAAGTAAATATTGCCCTTACCGACTGCACAATCGATCGGGCATCCTCTTCACTGCAGCAAAACGGGCTACCACCCACCAGAACATTTGTGCTGAGAAATAAAATTAATAACATGTTTATCAACTATTACAAAAGAGAGAGACAATTAAGTACCAATGGGGAAGAAAAAAAAAAAAGCGTGTATCTGTCCAGAAACGACAAAGTCAAACACAAACTAACGAGGAATGTTGGAGGGGACTAGGGGGTTGTTCCTTGTTTCTTTGCAATTGGGTTTTTGGGAATTTTGTTTTCATTTGTATGCAAACGTTCATTAATGTAAGCAGTACTCCTACTCTCTGCTTCTGGCATCTAAGCTCGGTGGCATCTAAGAACCACAGCCAAAAATCTAAATCTACCCAAAGGTGAACAAAGAGAAACAGGCATTCCCTGAGGGAGTTACCTAGCTGGCTAACGTGGATGGCACGAGTAACCCCCTGTCTCTTGTGCTTGAAAGGATGGCAGATCCTATAGGCATACAGAGATAGGCAGGTCACACTTGGCTTCCAGGAACCTGCTTGCACCCTCAGGCAAGGACAAGAAGAAAAAACCCAGATCAAAATTCCGCTCTTACATAAAGCATTAGATGCCTGTACTGCTTCCAGACAACAGAGAGAAATTTAGGGCCAAGTATTTTCCAGAAAAGTTTTCCTGCAAACTATGAATCTGTACTCTTTTACACCAAAATGAGTTTGGTCATGAGCTTTTAAGGGCCTACACAATTCCTCAGAGCAAGACTGTGATTTTAATTACTTTTAAATTGTATTAGCATGTACCTCGAAGTGCTTCTGAAATGATCAAAACTCAAGTTTGAGTACTCTCTTGTGGTATTTTTGCAATGTTACACTAAAATTATTAACCTGTCCAACTGTTACACTTGCTCAGTCAGTCCCAAGGAAGAGAAAGTCACACTTCTCCAAGAAACTAGAAGAGGACAGTGACTACCCGAGCACAGCCTTTGCCCTCCGATTTAGCTAATGTGAATCTACAGCCCTTGGACAGCACCAGACAAACACACATGCCCGCTCTTCAGGGCATCTGCTGCCAGAACTGCCAACTCAAACCAGTTTAGAGAGTTCAATAATTTTAATTTAGATCAGGCCAAAGCTTGGTAATGAATAGTAACTTGGCATTCCGGAGAATAGTTTTAAAAAATTCTTAAGAATCCTAAGCGGCAAAAGAATTCGTATCACAGTAATACAGCACTGAAAGGATGGAAAAAACAGCGATAAGAGGACTAATCAGGATCTGCAGGGGATACAGAGTTTCTCCCCAAATGATCCCAGACACACCCTCTGAGGCCATCAGTAGAAAGTTAAAGGAGTTTACGTAATTTTTGTCTAGTCAATATATTTTTTGAACCACTTACTAACAAACCATTACTATACAAGGTGCAATTACCACAGTCAATTATCAATTAATTCTCGATCAGAAAAACATGAATATTCCTGTCACCTCAAAGCAAAAAGTCTAAGCAGCTCACGCACAGCTGCCACATGTCAAATACCAATAGTACTAACACAATACAAAGAGGAAAAGATTTGACAGGATACTTACCATTTAATAGTACCTCCATCAGCTTTTTTATGAATCAAAGCTTTCCAGTATTCATGGGTGGATTTAATAATTGCAACAGCAAAATCCTAGTTTATATGAAGGAAAAGTTTTATGATTTAAAAGGCTATTAAACACAAAAAAGCCACAGAACTAGCTTATTAAAACACAGTTTCACGTGTTATATTTTCCAGAAATTTAATGAGGCCTCAAAGGAGGCCCCTTAAAATAACACTATTTTTATGAAAAGAAACAAACTTCACTATCTGTCGAATACACTGGCAACAAAAAGGCTTAATGAAAAAATCGAAATCAGCACTAGATGCTAGACACCTACAGCTGTAGAAAACTGTATCAGGTCCTAAACGGGACAAAGTGCATGAGCCTATGACTCCTCTGCTGTGTGTGCACATCAGGGTCAAAGGTTTTCCCTCCCATGCCAAAATGGGCATTTACCTCATTAATTGCTCAACCGCATAAGCATTCGCAATAATGTAATGTCAGCTGCTTAACAGGTTTTTTTGTTGTTTAAAAACAAAAATAATATGGGGAGGGGCCTTAAAAAAAAATCCTCAGTGTCCAGATGATGATATCTGGATAGGCTTGCAAAAAGCTGCCAACAGAACGTTCACATTTCCTAACAAGGAGCGACTTGGCAAAGCGCCACCGGAACATTGTGAACTTCACCAGAGCTGCTGGAAGGCAGCCACCGCTGCCTCACCACATCCTGGGTCTCCAGGAACGCTTAAGTAGTATCCAAGTGCTCCAAACCGGCTACGCGAGGGTCTTTACTGCCTCAAGCCTGAACTCCCGACAACTTGATCACGTCCCTGCTAAACTGTCGTTACGGTAGAATTACAGAGCGGGAAAATCAGGAATAGCAGTGACTGAGAGAATGGAGAACAGAAGAGCAGGTTATCCAGCCTTACAACCCTACATTTGATTAATTTAAGAGACAGTTTTAGTGTAGCAGAGGGGAGCTGGAGCATCTCTTTAACCATGCAAAAAATGTAAAATTGCCTGTGCTGGTTAGAAGGTGTTTTATAGCTCTGATAAGCACACTGTAAGGCTAGATGGATATCACTCATTAGGAACTTGTGATTCTCTGCCAAAAAGAGCGTAAAGAGAGAATGCAAGATATAGGATTTGCAAAGTATTTTTACTCAAATCAAACTCAGTTTCCTCTAGAAAAGTCCAGGCATTTTCCTCAGCAAAGTCTATTCCCAGGCCCACTCTCCTTTCCAACACTGGCCATTTTTGCTGCAGGATGTTTAAAAAGCCATTCATGTTTTCTAAAAAAGGGAAAAATATTTTTTCAACCTTCAAGCCAAAAACAGCTCAAATGTTCTTGCATAAAAATACCAGGAAAAAGTATACCTTGAGCAAATACCAAATATGGAAAAATCTGCAACCTATTGTCTTTCTTAAACTCCACAGCCTTGAAAAATGTCAGGGAAATTTATCAATCAAGACTGAAAGAAAAAAAAAAAAAAGAAAAAGAAAAGCCCTGAAAAGACAATCTGCTCTTCCCGCTCAGAGAGAGAATGAAAATACAGTAACAAGCACTGCACACATATAGCCTCTTCAGGATTGGGACCTAATGTTTTTTACTGACTTCCTTTAATAACGTTCATATTTTCCTTGAATAAAACGAAAGATACCAAACACTTCATATTACTATCCTCGTATATTGTATTCAAAAATCCATTATATAAAAATTCCTTATGTTAAAGCTCCTCCTCCTTTGCTAGAAATTTTAAAAATTCTAGGATGGATCAAGGAGGCCATATGATAGCAAGATACATCTTTGATTTTGTATCATCTTCACCTTGTCTTTAAATTCTCCATTAAAAGCGAACTGATTTTCCAGTTTACCATCAGGGACCTTATATGATCGGAACCAGTCAATCGTAGCCTCAAGGTAACCTGGTTTGTGCTTCCTGACATCATCAATATCTGTTGATACAGGGAAAAAAAAGGGAGGGAGGGGTAATTTTATTCACAGTTTTGGTAACATCAATTTTTTCAAGTCTCGTAAAAGACTGGCAAGCAAGCTGATTTCACTGAATACTTTCGAAGTCATCAGGGAACTTCACTTTATCACATCAGCTGCCCATAGTTGATATTTTATGATTTCAGCACCACACTGAACAGGTAAAACAGCTGCCTCCTGGTTTCCATTAATTAAGACCCAAAGGGACAATGAATAAAAAGACCATACTTATGAAAAGAGAGGAAGAAAATTCCATGTTTATAGGCTTTCTTCTCAGTATGCATCTCTTGCAATACTTTAGATTATTCCACAAGACTACTCTTCCAACAACTGTAGGCACTACAGGAATTTTTTGATAATGAAAGAATAGCTAGTAAAAACAATTTCAACACATAGATTTTAAACCACCATCTCAAAACAAAGAGACTTGAGAGGCTTGACTTCTCAAAGCTGTATTAAAGGCATCCCTTTACTCTCATTACTTCCAAATTCAACCCACTAGATAAAAAGACAGGCATGTGCGAGGTGCACTAAACACTACCTTTGCTGCTTATCTACATACTTGCAGTGATAAGCCAGTTCTATCCTTGCCTCTGCAGTCCTGCTGTGCAAAGATGGGACAGGACCCAAAAAGGAATGCATGCCATTTGCAGGGCACCCTTTGGAGACGGCGATGAACATTGTCTCAGCGGGTGCTGAGAGATTAAGAAGGTTTTGTTCTATAACATTCACATCCTTCTCTTTCCATCTATTTATCTCCTACAGCCCCTCCTCATAGAAATGATTTTTTAATCAGAAGCTGATTTTTTTTTTTTTTTTTTATCACTGTGCCTCCTCTGTATCCAGTCTTCCTGTTATTTTGTAACTTCACTCTGCCCAGGCCACCTTTTGTAGTGTTACTCTTTTTTTCTGGTGTTTTGCCAGTCATTTGCTTGTTCCTCCCTTCGTGCTTCCCTGGCATCTCCTCCTGTCTCTCTCTCTCACTCTGTCCATCCTGTCTGGCTACTCTGTTCTCTTCTCCCATAGAGGGGTCTCATTCACTGACATCTCCCAGCTGGTAATGACTGCTGACAGACACTCTTCTGTCTACCCAGCCAAAGGCGCTCAGTCCATGGGATTGACTCCTAGTCATGTCCTTTCCAGCTTTAAGTGCCTAGAGTATCTTTCTAGTCTGCGAACCTGAAAAAAAAATCCACATATTTCCAAAGAGAAACAGAGAACAGAGAAACAAGAGAAACTACAGACCATTCAATCCCCTGCAGACCCCTGAAAGTTAACATGTTGACTGAACCCCAAGACTAAACCTACAGGAGAAGATATGCTAGGTGGTCATAGGCATTTGATAGCTGCCAGTCCCAAATTCCATTGGACCATATATTGCCCAAAGAATAAAATAAAAAACCCTGAAGAACCCTGTGTATATTTTTGCTTCTGCGTGTACTTAATAGGCCTGCGTGTTTATGGACTCAAAGTAAAACACATTTTGAACTTGGCCGCTGGCCATCTGCCTGTAGAAAATCAGGGAGTTTCACTGGCAGAATCCCTAGGAAAAAAAAAAAAGCAAGGGCATGTAACGCTGGGCTGGAGGCAGATCTTGCTGGAATATAAGTGTAAAAGGGTAAGATGCCTTTCACAGGGATGGGTGAGTGAGTGAGAATGGCCAAGAAGAAATGACTTAGAAAAGGGCGGGGTCTTGGTTAGAGGCAGGATGCTTTATCTGAGCACTATACAACTACAGCTACAATTAAAATTGGTTTCAGGACTCCAGTGCATCATCCTGTTCCAAGCAAGGAGAGAACATCCCTCCTCCCATCCTAAGCCTATGTGATCTCCTCTTGTGGGGATCACAATTTCTATCACTTGTTGAAGAGACATTACGGCAAATCTCTTCAGAGAAATCTCTTCTAAAGCAAACCAGGCTGCAACAATTTCCTTGCCTCCCAGTGGTGGATGAACTCCAGGTCTCCATCTCCAGACAGTGCTCATATTCAAGCAGAGTTTCTCAGACTGCCGTTTCTTTTCTGGTTCCTGTTCCAGCAAACCTCTTACCTAAACTTTCTTCTCCATTCCTCTTCCTCGGATATGTCTCCTATTTCGCTAAAAATTGTTCACCAGGAGGGCTTCACTGATAGACATTTGAACCCCCCACCATCTGGCATTCCTTATATATGTTTCTTGTAAAGACCCAAATGATAGAATAGGCTTTGGCAGGCTCATTACCTCCTTAAGATAGGAAGGACCACCTTCATAAACCTTCAAATCATTTCTGTGAATCTTGTATTCTCGCTCCTGGAAAATACCTGGCCTACGTAAAGTGACTACCCAGAACCAGGCTACAGCATCAGAAGGCTTCAGAAGTACTGTCTGCTCATATTCTGGTTTTGAGGACTGGAGAAGCAGCACAGTGGCTTATTTTTCCCTGGTTCTTTGCAAATTATTTTCCTTCTCCCCTGTGCTTCACTTCACTATTCTTTATTATGAAGGAGAGTTACAGGGCACCAAATGAAGCTTACACTGTTGATTAAAAAAAGAAACTTGTATTATAATGGGAGCTGGGGGTCAAGTAGCAGGAAAAAGTGCAACAACAACAACAACAAATTCTGTTGTGGACTCAGCACATAGCACAAAAACATAAGAAAAATAGCAGCTTTTGCATCACTCAACAGCTACCTCTTCAGTTTATTAAAAAGCATCATAAAAAAAGCTTGAAAGACAGCCGGTCCTCCACTTTGAAATCCAAACAACAGCTTTGGGATATGAGGGGGAGGAGGAGAAAAATTTCCTCAGAGAATAGAAGAGGGAACAAAGAAAGGTAAAAGCAAAGATAACAGTAGGCAGTACATTGATTTAAGGCACTTATATCTGTAGGAGCTAATCTCATGTTATGAGGAGGACACGAACAGAGTCAGATGTCATCTCCACAGCAGACACTGCTTTCTGACCCTGACTGTGACTGCTTACCTTCCCTTAGAGCTATGTACTCAACACCACTGTCAAAGGGAACTAAGCACGTATGGGAGTTGCAAGCATATACCTGGTCTAACGTGATTCCATCTCTGCAAGCAACCCCCGCTCACAGTGGGAGAGAACAGAAAGGTCAGGCTCCTCTACGTTACACAGCGTCAACGTGCATCTACTGGGCTCTAGGTGGTAACTTCTCTATACTGCCTACATGCAACTAGAGATCCAAGTTTTCTAGGCACCAAAGTTACGCACCAAGGGTTAAGCAAGAAGAGCTGGCTATCACGTTATGGGTTGCAGTTTAGTCTCAATAAGGACAATCTCTAGAGGCTGGCACAAACAACTGCTGCTAGCTCTCTGTCAAGGGAGCGAGCCAATGCAAACGCAGCTCCCAATTCTATCAGGCCTTACAAAAGGGAGTGACAAAAACATTTGTACAAAACTACCATTTTTAGTACAACAGATGCTGCTCCTTGCAAGCAAAGCTAAAACAACATGCTTGCAGCAAGCTTTCTAAACAAGGTCTGTGGGAAGAGAGGACATATGTTTTTAATAACATCTTATAAACATTTACAGGAAGCAGCAGCTACATTCCATATAAAGGCATTTGGTGTATTTTGTGCAGCATGGTGTGAGGGGGTAGGAGTGGAGCCCCAGCACAGATAATTAATTTCTTTATATTGAAGACTTACACAAATCCACAACAAAGATTTTCAGGGCCTCTGCTGCTGCTCTGCGTAAAAATACACTCACATGCAAGCGTATATAATACATGGTACAAAGTGTGCAACATGCTTTATTTTTGCCATTTAGGGTGTGATCACATAACTCAAAAAGCCAATCTCGAGTGGCACATGGGGAAAGAAGCATGACAGTATAACACAGTTAACTCTACCAGCACTAGCAAACGATAGCACAAAGCCAGTGGCAATCCCTGACTGTTGCTGAATATATCCAGACATCTTGCCAGCGAGCAATAACATAAAACAGATGCTAAATTCCCAAGTCAGCAAATCACCTGGGCAATGCCATCTTTGCCCATGATTTGCACAGTTTGCTCAGGGAAAGTAAGAAGATCCTCTGAGAGCCAGACCTTTCATAAGTTGCTTCAAACACACTTCCTACTTCAATTGCCAGTCACTTTCAAAAATTCTCATCTAACATAAAGACGCTGTACACATTTAGACTAAATTACAACACCAAAATACTGTTCATCCTTTCAGACTTCTCTTGTAATGTACATCAGATATGTATGTGAACTTCAATGTATTAAACTGCATCCAAATTATGAGGAATAGGAAACTTTTCCATTCCAGGAATTTGCTTCTTTCCTTGGCCAATATGTTGCATTAACTAACAAATAAATAAATAAATATATACATAGACACACACACACACACACACACACACACAAATAAGGCCAGCAACTATTATACTGCCAAGATTTAACATTTCAGAGCACAGGGAGGTTTTAGGCCCTTTCCAAGACCTGCTTGGTCTGAAGTTGTTTCACTGATGCACTAATGGCCATCTGGCTAGCAGCTGCCTGAGCAGAAAGACAACTCAGTGGTTTTCAGGTAGCTACAAAGGCAGATTTTATTGAAACAGATAAATCTGAAAGTGTCCGGTTTTAGTATAAAAGAACCTCTCACACACACACACCTGCATCTGATGTACAGCTTGTATTTACAGAGAGACTGTCCCCACACCCAGTGATATTAAGTACTGTAATTTCAAACAGATTACCTTCTAAAACTCAGTCCAAAAAGACACTAGCCCCTGCTACTCCTACTGAGGACGCAGTTCCCACTTGAACAGATTCTGAGCATCACTTATCATTTCTGGGTATTGTCACCATAAACTGGAGTTTTCCATTGCTCTGTGTAATGGAGTTCTAGGCAGGGCTTCCAATTTAAACCAGTATTTATCAATAAGCGCCTGCAGGACACAGTACTGTGGAGTGCTGTGAATAAACAATGAGAGTTACTCAGAAGTTGGGACTGCTCAGTTTTAAGTTCTGTGAAGCCTCAGAAAATCAACTGCACTTATGAGAACGATCACAATCCCAGAAGGAGAATATACAGAGTACCTGGGGTGTGCTTAAAGCAGTAAGAGGAGTTAACACACTGCGCAGGCTCAGGATGGGCTTTGCAAGTAATCACCACTCTGGTGCCTCAGAATTATCTTTTCCGAATGTTCACTGGGGCTGTGCACACACTGAGCTGAAAGCAAATGCAATGATTCTCAGACCAACTGGAAACGTTTAGCAAATGATACAAAAATGACTGGCCCGACTTCCAAGGGAATACTTAGCCTCTTCTCTCCCTAGAAGCCTACTACTGTAACAGAGCAGCATGTCAGTTATTAAGGGAGGTATCAGTTTTATTTGTAGTGGCTGTTCCTTTATACTGAAACAATTAACATCTCTGGGAAGGGGGAAAAACAAGTATAAGAAGACTTTTTGTACTGCATATTCCAACAGATTTGTTTGTTTTCAAAACGAAGAAGGATTGCTGTTAAACTCTGCAGGCTACAGTCATGCTTTGTGAAAGCAGATGGGGGATACTTTCTTTTTTTTTTTTTTTTTTAAATCCTGGACTGCAACTCCAACCCCAAAGGGAAATTATATTAAATCAGAAAAATATTCCTCCACTTTTCTGAATCTCAGGAGGACAACTCTCTTCCAGTTTTGCAGCTATTCTCTAATGAGAAAGGATGCACAAAGATATCACCTACAGGCAAGAGTTTGTATCTGTTTCTTAAAAGACTTTTTAAAACACTTACTCCATTCCCAAACAAAAGACAGCTCTTTCATAGCTGACACAAATCAGTCACTGACAACCAAAAAACATTACTTGAGAAAAACAGAGCGCTTTCAAATGGAGCTACTTAACTCTGTGGCATAAAGCATCTCAGTTTTGCCCTTACTTAACTGGACTCCTTTTTAAACTCTCACACACTTTTCTGATGAAAACCTCTCAAATTATTAAGGAAAAAAAGTAAGAAGTAAACAGAACACTGTCTAGAAATAAAGTGCTAACTACTTGTCTTTTAACTTGTCTTATAGCACAACCCACTGTACATCATGCAGAGGTTGAAAATGATACTAGAAAGTCATAGTTTGCTCTTAATGCTATTTCCTTAAGCTGAACTTCTTAATCTCGAACTGCCAAAGTAGTTAAAATGTCAAACACTACGCAGCAATTTCATCTGCCCAGTGATTTTAATCAGTATCACCCCAAGAGTTTCCTTTTCCTCATTTCTTCTTCTCCCCTTCTTCCCCCACAAGTCAAGTATTCTCCATTTCAGAGCAACCTGCAAGAAAACTGAGAACGGGAGGGCCAGATCAGTGACATACTTACTATACAATCAGAAACCAGGAAAAAGCCTCAATGGCTGAGAAACATAATTCCTCAAAAGTTACTGGATAACCACATTCTTACAGAAAAACTATTAAAATGAGTGCTCCCTGCCAGCAAAGAATGGGCTCTGACCTTATAAACCTGAGGCTATAGAAAATGTTGGTCTCATAACAATCACTAATTTTTAGACATATTTCCTCACTTAATTCCCATGATTCCCAGTGAAGTTATGTTTGCGAAAGAGAAGCTCTGTTGATCCAGAGAAGAGCTGCACTCTTTTGGTGCTGTAAAAACCTTACCGTCTCCAGGCTGAACACATCTGAATCTTCTTCTGAAAGGACAGTCTGCACGCAGAACACGATACCTCACACTGCATTCACACTGCTGCACACAGACAGTAGTACAGAAGCACACCAGTAGCACAGAAGTACTTGATCGCATTTGTATACAAGAAGCATGGTCACGAGGAGGAGGAGGACTCCGCTAAAGATATTTCACACTGCACAGCTAGCAATCAGCAAGGCTGGTATTAGGGTCATCTGCATGAGCAGTTTGCTTTGCAAATTTGCAAGTTAAAAAAGTGAAACCCAAACATTCATATTAGGCAACAATTCCTGGAAGTAACCTAGCTAAAAGTTGCAAAATATTGGAAACGTTCAGCCCACTTCAGAATACAAAATGATACTACAAAAATAAAAGGAACATTCAACAAAGAAAATGAGCGGTGTGCTACGTTATCTTGAGTGGATAAATATGCACTCTCACAAAGCTTGTAACTGTCATCAGTCTCTTCCTAAGACGGTTGTGTTTCAAAAGTCAAAACACTTTCTGCATGACTTGAAAATCTAAGTGAACCTTTCAAAAGTTTAGTGTAAAAGTATATATGTCCTCCTTGAAGGAGACATCTGAGTTCATAAAGCAAAAAGAGAAAAGCCTTGTCTCTTGCTGTCTAGAGTCTCTTCTTGTCCTGAGAGTTCCAAAGTCAGATACCATTCTGTCATGCAGATTGCTGACATGACTTGTACTAGGAAAGGTAGAGATACTTGCCATGGATTTTCTGAGCTTCTGGGTCATCCACACTGATAGCAATGATCTTCCAATCTGTCTCTCCTTCATCAATAAGGGCTAAAACTCCCAAGACCTTTACCTGAACAACCTCACCAGATGAACGAATCTGAAACAGAGCACAATCTCACAGATTGGGAAAAGGTCACACGGAATTTCTCTTTCACCTCAGAGACAAAATGGTTTCATTACCTCTTTGACCAGCAGTCAGCAGAACTGCAAAAGAGATCTGTAAACCCAACACACATCACCCAATGTTACTTGCCTTTCTTCTACCACTGCCCTCCAACTCCCCGTTCTCTGGACAGCATTTATTCAAGGAGACAACAGGCTAGAGAAAAAAATCTTTTTCTCTTCTACTCTCGTTCCCCCACACCTTTTCTATCTTCATCTCAATCTGCAAGTCAAAGGTATTTCTTACTCATTTTCTAATTCCTTCTTCCTACCTGCTGACTCTCTCAACTCCTGGTCTTCATCTTTCTCCTGCTGTTTCTTCCTCTATACTCCAACATACACCCATCCCCACCCTTCCCCAAAAATATTCGCATGTTTCTCCGCGTTTTCCTGGGAACCTTGTCCCTACCAGATGATATTCCTCGTCTAACTCCTTCTAGATCTCTAGAAATTCAGGCTTAGGTTCCTTTTCCCAAATGAAGCCACCTTTGCTGAGGTCATCAATGACGTTTCCCCTTATCTAAAAATAGCCCCAGAGATACCTTCCCCAAACTCATCCATTTCATAACCTCATAACCTCATCTTTCATACTGTGGAGGCCTGCTCCATTCTTCACTGCCTCCAGGTTCATTGGATTTTATTCTTTCAGTGAACTAAATCCCTCCCCCATTCCTATTACTCAAAATCGTGTTTGCAGTATCTCTTTTTCATACACCCACTCCACATCCCATAATTCTGCAACAGGTTCCTGTCCCTTCCTCTAGGGAAAACTATCTATTTCCATTTGCACCCATGAGAAAACTCACAAACCTACCTCCTTTGCAGGTCTGATCTGGTAATCTTATACGCATCATGCTGTCATATTACCTTATCTTTCAGAAACCTACTTCTCACTCTAGTACCGCTAACAGATAGGGGAAAAAAAGAAGTATTCTTTTTCCTTCCCCAAAATCTTAGCCCTCTCCTTCCTCATCCAAAACTCACCACCCAGCTACAGAACTTTGGGGTGATGTTCTCTTACTTTCCGCTTTATCCACTACCTAGACTTTATCATATCCTCTTTCTAAATTCTCTTCAAAAATCCACCATTTTCTTATCTATTCCCTCCCTCAGATCTTCTATTACTGCTTCCGTCAACCTGTCTTCTGTTTCCTATCTGCCTTTCTCTTCCAAAAGCAGTTACCAAATGATTAAAGTAATCTTGATAAATTAAATTAATCTTAATAAAGATGACAAACCTTTGAACCTATTTCACAAACATCAATAGGATCATTATCCCCACAACATCCTGTACTCTTATCCTTGTGGTTTGGATCTTCCCAGGTCTGTTAAAGGAAAGAGAAATATAAGTTACCAATTATCCTACAATTACAATTCCTCTAACCACTAAACTACCAAGATTAATGAAACATGAGGAAAAACCCTCAGCTTTCTGAGAAGTCTTGCTGCTCCATGGGGGGGGGGGGAAGGGGGAAATGGGGGAAGCAGACCTGCTGAGCCTGGGTATACAGTAACAGAAGTATCAGCTGCATCAAACATACAAAGAACAGGCTTTATCAAGCTGCAGTGATCAAGGTGTCAGATGACCCTGAACATGTATTGTTCCGGTTACTTCCACTTGCAGGATTAAGCTAGGACATCCTACAATCATATTCTTACCATATTAGTGCACATATACCAGAAGAATATAAGTTGCTTTCAAAATCGTCTAGGCTTTGAGCTGACCAAGCTTCTAGGTATGCAATTATTGGCACCCAACTGCCTCTTTAAAGTTTTGAAATTTAGGTACAAAATATTTTTGAATACAAAGATCCACACATACCCAAGAACAGCCAGCAGCTCAGGATCGAAGAAGCTTCCCTGGGATGCAGGTTCAAATCCCTGTTTTGAGCTCTGTTTTAGCAAATAATCATTACTAGGCCAGTACTGCTTTTGTCTCTTACTGGCTTGAGATGAAAAACTCCGTCCTAGAGTTGAGAAGTTATTCTGACAAGAATTTTGAGACCAATGAAGTTTCGTTGAAAATGTGCTAGAAAATTTTCTCCTGAGAAGCTATACTGTTAGTTCCTATTGTCCACAATCCAGCCCCCACCTAAAACTCGCTTTTGAAAACTGGACTAATGCTAAAAGGCAAAACTGTAAAAAGCCAGTGCTAACGTATTTAGGTAGTAGCATCATTATCAATAATTGCTTAAGTGGAATCAAAAGAGAATTTAAATTTAAAACTTATATTTTTCAATATTCTTCCAAAGCACTTTTTATTTAAGGTTGCCTTATAGTTAAGTACTGGTACATGAGCACTAGGACACTAGCAATCCTCCTGCTGAGGCAGATCCCTCAGCCAGTAGTTTTCCTAAGGACAGATGGATGGTTAGCTAGGAATGCAGCGTTCTCCAGACAACACGGCAGCAACTCCTGATATAATGACAGTCCTGTTGTCTTTTTTGATTCTCTGTTCCACAGCATAAAATAGCAGCCTCAGTAAAATCGGCACAAATATACATCTTTTAGCCATAAAGCATGGCTAAACTTCTGGCAACTGCTGATCTTGATAACAAACCTTCCTGTGATAGTGGAGACACTTAACTGGATCAGGCCAAGAGTTTGTGACAGCTGCTAATAAGAATCTGGAGTATTGTCTAGGCTTCAACAACTGGAGGTCTAATGATCCAAGTAATCTTTCAAAGTTATTACAGAAAAGAACAATGAAAATTACCTCCAGCCCTCTGACTCACAAGACAACAGGGGGAGTTGAACCTCCCTCCTGGGGAAAGTGTCATCAGTCCAAACTACCACACATCATGCATGCAAATGTTCCAACGTTTAATTTTGGCTTTGTACTAAAGTACAAACAGATTTCCAAACATTAAATGAAACTGTTGGTTCCCAACTATCTCTCTAATTAGAAACTTTGTCTACTGGGACTGCTGACTGGATATGAACTTCACTGCCATACTCCACCACCCACCTGGTATCTCCCCCTCAGGGATTACATACATTAGCAGATTTTCAGGAGTAAGCTTTCATTGCTTATGCAATAATCCATCTCTGTACAGAAAAGAAATCACCCTTTCCGGCTCCATCAGGTTTTTCAATACTAATTTAATACCAATGTGTTATTCACAGAAACGAAATAACCAAGTTTATAAACTTTCATTATGTTCAAAATTTCTATCATTAGCTGCGTTTTTTCAGGGCTCAAATGGAAAGCTTTAAATATGTAACGATCAAAAAAGTCTCAAAGTTCACAGCAAAGTTAACTGAGGCAGTTGGGGTTTAATCTGAAAAAGAACAGCTCTTGGATTCTTCTTTGCTTTTTGATATTAAGAAATCCCAATTAACATTTACACTGCAATAAATGAAGAGCTTAAATGAGTTTTTTTAAGAACGTCTTGTTTAAACAGGAAAGCACTACTTGACAAAGTATGCTGGAACGGCAGACCATGACAACTTAGTTCTGTCACTACAGTACAGAGGCAGACAGTAAAAGTTCAAAATTCCTTGATTATTTAACTCCTTCCTGAAACAGAGTGCTCATCTACACCCACACCCAAATTCTGATCAAAATTTACAGCCACAATAAAGCTCTACATGAAAAAAAATCCTCATTTACAAATCTATCAAAGAGAAACATCCTTCCTCCAACTGATTTGCATTCAGGCAGTACTCAAAATTTACAAGGCAATTTACTTGGAAGACAGAAAAGTTTCACCATTATAACAAAAATGTTACCTGAGGGAAGGCACCATAATTCCATATATAACCCTTGTGAGGAAAGATATTTGCCACATATCGAAGCTTGCCTTTCTTTATATCTTGTTTAATGGGATTCAACGGCTCCTCAGTGGCAATCTAAGTAGATCGTGAAAGACACAGAGAGAGAGAGAAAAAGAGAGAACTGTAAAATGGAAAGCAATTCATTCTGTACCCAACCAGTTAGAAAGCTCCGTCTGGGAGCATGTGTTTGTGGTTTGAGGAGTATTAAAAGTGTGATGGCCTCACTGTAAATCTCAAGGGTCACATTCAAATAGCAACTTATTAAGGTTTTAAATAATGTTGTGAAGTATGCAAGAGAAAAAAAAAAACAAATCTAGAAAAGAAAGTCATAAATTTATAAGGAGCCTGTCATGGTCAAACATAAATACTGAAGGGAACTTACATTAGAAGCTCTTGCACTTTATGAGACAAGTTCAACAGAGATATAAATGGTAGCATGAGTTCTTCAAATAGCGGCTTTGACAGCAACTGCAGAAGTGTTTCTTCTTTCTCCCTGTTCATTGCTTTCCTACTGCATACACTCTTTTTTTCTCTACATCACCTCTCAGCATACAAATCCTTGTTAGTAAGGACTAACCGTGCATAGTCACTGAACACCGAATTCATGCAAGTTAGGGAAAAGTTAAGCTAGCATCAGGAGAAGGCATTTCTACTCCTGAAGGAGCATGCACATAAGCACTAAATCAATTATTGCATAACAGTTTATCATGGACATCATCTGCCAGTGAGACCTTAAATATAAACCCATTATCATATGGGTTACCTACCACACTTTAGCTAATTCACTGTAACCATTCTTTTGCCACTCCAACACCACCACACAATTCATGTTAACTTGGCTCTTACTCACAAACACTCATTTGAATGGCCTCATATCTGTTACAGGCTATGAGCATGCACTGGCTCAGGTAGTTCACTTTGCACACATGAGCATACCATTCTTAGTCTACACTTTACATCATCTTTGAAATTTAGCTACAAACACCACTATCAAAGTCATCCCAAAGGAACCACACTTTTTTAGACCACATCATACTTTCAATAGCGTGCAAACAAGCAAACCCTCCCAAAGAGCTGAGATCAGGTTTCACACCTGATTCTACCTGCTTCTGGTCGTAACTTAACAGTGAAGACATGAACTATTCCACCTGGGATTCAGATGCAAGTGGAGCTCAAACAACCTTTCTCCTGACATAAACGGGGGCATAGAGGTGTAACTTACAACAGTAGGTGGTAGCTCAATAAAGCCTCCTAAAAAACACTCATAAAAAGGAAGGGGTAAGAGAAATACCGATGAGCATGGTATCTCGCACTGGGGATATAACAGTGGGAAACACTCATCCTAAGGCAAGGTTTACTCTCCTAGTCTCCATTCCAAGTGAGGAAATCCTAGCATGGAGATGCAGTCCAGAGCCGGTACCAACACCTTACCACAGCCTGAACTGAAGGATTCTCAGGGCAGAAAGGCAAAGCAAGACAACCGTCTGCCTTAATAATAATGCAAAAACTTCCATGTATGTCAATAGTTATAGATTAGAGAACTACATCTTGTCTTCTGCCAAGCCAGAAAACGTTCAACCTATCGATTTCTGAACTTAACAGGACAGCAAACTTCTTTCCCCTTGATGTAACGTGGCAAAGGAGGTGGTGGTGGCAGTGGGGGAAATAAGAGAGCACCCCGAGCTTTAAGCAAAGACTTCAAATAGCAGGGGTAAAGGCGAACTCTGAAAAAGGGAACTCAGCTTCCACAATAAGACATTATCTTAAAAATACAAGCTAATTTTCCAAGATAACCCTATTTCTAGAACAACAGCCAAGGTGGTAAACGCAGTTCAAATGATATTCCAGCATCCTAGAAAGGTAACAAAATTCTGAAATAATGGTCTGGGCAGGTTCTTTGTGGTATTTTTAATAGTCCAAATAGTTAACAGCACAACCAACTTCCTTAAACGCATGCAGGAAACATCCCTAAAATTAATACAAATGTTAGAGAAGACAGGAGAAACCCTGGTGAGATATGTTATTTTACCCACACTACAGATGAAGCATTACTCAGCTTCTGTATTTTAACAGTAGAGAAACAATCTGGTAAGCTCTACTTATGAAGTAGCTCCCAGCAGCAGCAGGTATTTTCAGCCAGTGAGGTCCAAGTATTTTTTGTCTCAAGGAAACAATTTTTCATTTGCCATTCCCATTCCATTTGCCAGGATTTGGCCTAGCAGACTATCATTCATACAGCAGAAATGAGAGAATTAAATCCTCTGAAATGAATGCTATATGAGCAAGCAAGAGTCAGACTAGACGTAGGACAATATTCCGAAACCCAGTACTCCAGGACCCTGTTGTAGGTATTCTGCACTCTGCAATCAGACGGCTGTCAAGAGTCATTGCTCACCGGCAAAAAGGAAACAAAACTAGGACCTTAGCATATTCTTTAACTGCAAGGAAAATCTCTGTATGCACAACTTCAAATAAATACTGTAACAAAATTTTACATATAAAGAGTATCCCACATTCTGATTGAACTCTGAAATACTGGAATAGATTAAGTTGCCATACCTTTCATAAATACCTATATAATCAAGGTATTTTTTCTTAATTACCTCCATTTTCGCATTTGTCCAACGAGGCACTTCTACAATCATATTAAACAGTACCTGAAATAAAAACAATGAAAGAATCTGAAATGAAGCCCACTTAGTAATTCATACTTTGCAACAAGATAAGTTCTCTCCTCTGTATTTAACACCAATGCGTGTCAAATCTCACTGTTCCATCCGATTTTATGTTAAGTACAATTTGTTTAGAGTCATCAGCTCCTCACAATGATACTCAATCTCCTCAGTTCCTCCTTCCTTTTCTCCTCCTCTTTGAGCAGATGAATAACTACAAAACGGGGAAATCCACATGATGCTTTTTATTCCAATCTCAACACTATTCTTCACACAACGTTTAATAAGCCTGTGGAATGATTTACCACACGACAGTGTTGAGTCTATCAGTCAAAGAGGATTGGATGTTTTTGTAAGAAAGTTCCCCTCAAACACAGGAAAGGAGAGTGCTTTTTTCCCCCCATGGATTTATTTCTTCATGATTTCCTCTTTGGCCTCATACATTTTTTTTAAAATCCATACAAATATTACAACCACTGACATACCTGATCCTCAGTCACATCTAGCTGAAGTGAGCCAAAATGAATTCAAAAGTGATAGAGGAAGAAGGACCTGGACACAGACACCTAGTGTCTCCATCAGCCTTCTTCCCACCAGAAAATAACTGGAAACAGTTTTAAGGAAAAAAACAAACAAACAAAAAAACATGTAAGCTTTCAGGCTTTTAGGACAAGAGAAAAAAAGAAGTCTATACTCTTTCTTACTGGAGAGGTTAAAGTGACATTTTCCAAAGAGAAAAACCATCTGTGCAGCTATCTGTTGTAAGGGTTCTTCTTTCCCAGCAGAGTTAAGCACTACCAGGGAGGAGAGAGTATTAATTAAAATGGGTCACTAGTCCAATCCATCCAGCAATGCCTACAACCTATTTTCTCCAAGATTATTAAAATAACCCCAAGATATTACATTGCCTGGGGTACTGTGACATCTCACTACAGCCAAGGAAAACTCTTGTTGGTATTAAAAATGCACCAGTCAAGGAAGGACAGACTACATTTTTAAATAAATCTGTTGAGAAATAAGGCCAAACCAACTGAAAAGTTGCACTGACTCTTTAGCTCCTCTGCAATTAAGGCACTAGCAGACACTTAAATTTTTGTATTTTTGCTCTCTGTAACCTGCAGCTGCAGCAGACCAATATCATTGCCAGGGCCAATGTCACAGTCTGATTAAAGTCGTTCCAACGGATCTATGCACTTCTCTCCCCAAATCTGGAAAGACAGAAGCAACAAAGCAAAGGAAAATCCCAGCTGTCACTCACTGTTTTTCCTGTAAGATTACAAGCTATGTACAATCCTGACAAACAGCAAATCCCCAGAACATTTAAATCAAGTTTGCCATCTGTAAGTCTCATGTCCATGCGGTAACCAGCGGAATCTAAGCACGTAAGATGGAATCACTTTCCTGAACAGCTCATAACCGAATACACTAAACAATAAAAAGGGGGAGGGGGAGGTGCTTCAGATCAGTTTCATAAGGCACACCTTATGTATAAAAATAGCTGAAATAGAGCAGTACCCAGAAAGAGAGCTCAAAGACAACAACACTAAGGAAGCAGACGCAGAAGGAGCTGACACCCAGACAGCAGCAGGTAAGGGAGCCAAATAAAGTTTGCACATCCAAGAAACACCTAGAACAAGAAATACACTGCATGAAAGCCAATGCTGACAAGAAGCTCTCAGGGATCCGCCAGCAAGTGTTGTGACTGGTAGCTATATAGGCAAAAAACTTACAAACTACTCCTGGAATGATACAGAGTGTCTTCCCCTCCATCATATTCCTACGTTTTTGTTGTGAGAGACACCACTGCATATTTTCCTGACTATGTCTAGTACAATGGCCTCAAGAGCCTGCAAATGTTGTTTTTGAACTTTAACTGGTCAAAAGTTAGTCAGGGCCTTCACGAGAACTCTCAGGGCTGGACCACAGCTGGACTGAAGTGGATATAATGCTTCTCTCGCACAGAATCACTTGCATTTAACCCAGCTTTAAGACCAGGGCTTTGTAATTTGTGGTATCAGTCAAAAGTGTTTTGCCAGGAGTCTTAAATGTGATAGCCTGACAGATTAATTCATATGCAAAAAAAACCCTGAAAGTACTCTCTCTAATGCTAAGCTGCCACAAGCATTTACAAGAGATTAATAACTTCATGCAGCGCTCACATTTAAAAAGTTTATTTATAGGACAATCAGATTTTCACAGTGATGAGGCAGGATTCACTGAGGTGGAAAGGAGAGCGCACAGTTGATAGTTTGACAGCTGGAAACAGAAAATAAGTATATTTCTATCTCTGTTTTTTCCCCCTCTTCTCTTCCCTATCTTGTTTCCCTCCCTTCTCCTTGCCTAAGTAACACACACAGATTTTTCCACCACTCATTTCCCCAAACCAAGCGTTTATTCTTTCTCTCCACTCGAATGTTCTCCCTCAGATCCTTGCTGCAAAATTGTCCTCGTCTCAGCTGCAAACAGAAATGCAAATGTCAGACACCACATATCTCCCTAGATTACCACCTGCGTATGCCACTGAGTGGTTAGTTTTGCCCAGTCAATGAACCTGGTGATTGATATTTTTATTTTAAGTCATTAAAACAAAAATATCCCATCTCAATGGAAAACCAATGGCTACTTCTACACCCTCAAACAATGGTGAGACTGCTCTAACAGCCCATTTGACACACCTTCCAGAGCAAGAAAGAGGAAAACCCAAAAGCTGATCTCTCATGAGAGGAAAACTATCTGCTTTAGGAAGCTCCTAACCATTTCTTCCTGCCCTCTCTTTAGTTTCTTCTCCAGCAGTTCTGTTAGGCAATGAATCCACTGTTTGTTTATGCACTCTTTGCAGAGTCAGGAACCTCTGGCAGGAATAAGAACCACCTAGAATAATGACAAAAAGATAGTCTTCCAAACAACTATCAGCTATCTAGTAAATTAGTTTACCATTTAACAGCCTTAGTATGATGGCAGTCAATAGGCCTGCCTATGAGATCACTGCTTGCCAAAAGTCCCAACTTAACCCAACTCTGCAAGAGCCTAATGCAGAAAGGCATTTCCTGAAGGCACGCTGTACAACAGGCCAGACAGAGTAGCTCCTGCAGGCTACCACCATGCTCACCCTGCTGGCTGATGGTTTCTTCAGAGGAACAGTCTCCTGGAGCATGAAAGAAAAGATGAAACAGTTTCCTAGATTCAGAAAACGGGACAGACCCCAGCAGCTAGGGGAACAGACCTAGAAGGGCCCAGAAGGACTTTCAACCCAGAATATTATGTAGCTTGATTGACTTAGGGTTAATGTGAACAGAAGGCAGACGCTTATGCTCTATTAGAAGTACTGAGAAGGCAAGGAAAAAAAAATCTATTTGTTCAACACAGAGAAGTCAGAAGTGTATTTCCTAATTCTTAAAACTGAGTGTGAAAGCAGACAGAAAATGACATTAGAAGGAACAAACAGTACCTTTAAATGATAGGAACTTCCTAAGAACTACAGTCTTAACTTCACCATATGGGAACACACATAGGAGGTGAATAAGTGTTTGCTTTAGCAGGGTGTTTTCTGTAGCAAGGCTTGGCATTGCCACTTGAATTGACCATCATTTTTAATTTATCCTAATATTGCTTTTGCTGATGTCATTTCACATGGGCAATAAGAGCAGCCTTTTTTTTTTTTTAAACCACAGAGAGAGAGAAAAGTATTGAAATATACTTAAATATGCTCATACAGCAAGTATTCAGAAAAGCAAGGAAAATACAGATAGTGAACCTAGGTAAATAACGAGTCAGCGTTCTCTCCACTAAGACCAACTACCAAAGATAACTGCTGGCTCTGGCTATACAGATTCTTATAAAAGACAGCTCATTCAGATCAAGATTTGTTATCACAAACTTGAGTATCACAGGTCAGTAGAACTAAATGAAGCATATTTCTCACACCTTTTTGTTTTTGCAACCTGACTTTCTGGATTCCCATATACCCTTCTCATAAACAACTCTTTTTCCTGCCTAACTTTCCCTTTTCTCTTTCAACTACTTCCTTTCTCAGCCCTTTCAAGTTCCTGAACTGGTACATTTGAAGGGAGGGTTCTGAACAGGTATGATTTTGCCCAAAGGTTGCAACAGGTAATACTCAACTCTGAAGGTTCAGCTAATTTGAAGCAGAACTGGAGCTGAGCAAGGGAAGTGACAAAACGGGAGGCAGAAAAAGGAATACATGAGGAACAGAAAGTCAGTAAGATTCCATAAAAAGACACACATCATCACTTATTAAGTCCTGATTGCCATTCACCATCACACTTGCATGAGGGGGAGAGGAGATATGATGAAACTTACAACTACTTCAGTCATTTTTAAAGTAGAGTGCTTTCAAAAAAAAAAAAAAATCTGAAAGCATTAGAGACAGCATTTGGGAGCTCCTGACCCTCCTCACTGAGGAGCTCTGAAGTCACAAGACACACAGAAGAAAAAAGCAGCTACCATTTCCATTCCTTTTCTCTCTGCTCATTTGCAATTTTACAGGGATTCTCACCAGCAATCGACTGAATACAGCAGCATGCACTTGAGGACTAATGAGAATGAAAAGGATGAGCTGCAGTCCAGCGGCAGTATGAACAAAGAATGATGCCTTCAACAACAGAAGTTTAAAAGGCGGGGGGGGGAAGGGACTGTCATGAAATACAACCAGAAATAAACGGAGAGGGGCTTGCTTACAATATGAGTCCCATTCCCAACCTAACACTTGCTACAAGGTATTTTGATGAAAACATCAAAACAAATGCCAGCAACATCTGGAGACCAAATATTCTCTGCCTACAAGAGAAGTCCATGGAACATTTCCAATACAAATTAACAGGCCACGTTGAGACGGGGGGAGGGAGAGCACAATGCCCAGCATAAATGCAAAATGTCTGCAGCCTTTTCCTATTGTACTTCCTTCATACTGCAGCGGAAAGCAAATCAAGAACACTATGGAAGAGTTTTTACCCACAGGTGTCCTAGAAATGGTGTCAGTCACATTCACTTACAAGATAAACTAGTTACTGGATATATTAACTTTTGAAACTACTCAGCATAGTGTTGACATGGACCAAAATGAAACACTGACTTTCTTAAGTTTTAAGAAATTGTTTCTCTGAAGTTAAGTTTGATCAATTCACTGCTGCAGCTTTCTTAGCAAACTAGCTCTACCCCAGATATTAATCAGATATAATCAGATATTAACCTGATTGCTGAGTGAAGATTACTTCTGTCCTTCTCAGCATTTGCTTATCTACATGAGCGCAAAGCAAGATTTATGACAGTCCATAGAAAAAGACTCCTCGAGTTCAAATATCAGGATGAAACTTCCACTGATAAGAAAAAATTTGGAACATACAATGTCACATGCAATGGCCTTGTTACAGCCTGGGTGACATATTCCAAAAAGAGGTCCAGCATGACTGAAGGTTACAGAGCCTGTAGTTAACACAGAATACAAAATTTGCACCTGTAGAGCATGGGAAACGTTGCCAGCTTTTCCCCCTCATGAAACATACTGACTTACTCATAAGACAACTCTGACACCACAGTTTTGAACTCTGTCCCAAGCATGAGGCCCTCTATCAGATCACCTATTAAGGCTGCTCACCCACTCTGATGACCCCTTATATCTCATGTGACTGGCTTATTTATCAAAAGTTTTCGCCTGACAGAGGGAATTCAACTCAAGTCCACAAGGGCATTGCAGTACTGTGCAATCGACAGGACACAACAAAAAAAAGCTGTCCTGTTTCTTCCCTCCTCCCCCTCCCCCTTAAACTGCTCTTGTGGGTCTCTGCGAGTTGAAGGAGGATAATCTTGACATGCTTGGACAGATTCCTTACTAAGGCCAACGTTTTAAATAAAACGTCGTATTCAAGAACACCTGAGTCCTCTGAATGAGCTGATAAGCGAACGCTCCATCAAAGACACAAATAATGACAAGCGGATTAGAAACCCTTTCACTACAGCAGGGAAGCAACACATCTTGAAAAGACAGCGACGACCTCTTGGAACCTTCTTCCTGCCATCCAGCTCCGAAGATCATATTCAACAATCAGCCTCCAACAGAGTTTTCACTGTAACCATAGGGAGAACATCCACCCTCCCAGACAGAGATGTGAAACTTTTGATGCCTTTCATAGAGATTTATTTGGGCAAGAGTGGATTTTGAGTGATTTCAACGCTTAAGACAAAGCTGAGGTTCAGACCGCATGCTGCCAATAATTTGAGACTAAGGTTAAATATGATTTCTTCCAAAAGAGTTCCTCCCTGAACATAGCTTCTCTCAAGTCTTCAAATAGTTGAAAAACATCTATGAAAGCCAAAAGATTAGCTGTCAACAGCAGCTGCAAAGCCAAATTTAACTGAGATTTTTGGGGAGGTCTATGATCTTGCAAGAAGTGGCTGCACTACTGAGAACAAAAATGCCACAACTTTTCCCTTAGAACTCAGACAAGCTGAAATTGCAAACCAGCTAACATACAGACTTCTAAAACGTGTGCTCCCTTATCCCATGAATGTTGAAACCTGAAACTCTTGTTTTTGAAACCTTCTTTTCTTATCACAAATGCCAAGAACAATTTGAAGTAGATCTGACAGACTGAAAAGATTCAAACAAAATTATCTTCATTTTCCACAGCTAAACTGCCATCACAAAAGCCAGTTTGGCACAATTTAACACATACTTTTAAGAGGCCCTTCACTTGTGGAGACTAACAAATAATCACTATCCTAAAAGTACAAGTTTTACAGATGTAGCTGTGTTTGTAGCGCAAGAGGAACCTTGAATCACCTTTGAATCTTGGCCAAATTCAGTGCAAGGATCTACTGAACACGAGGTATCAATAGTAGTCTTTGCATGCCTACAAGAGAGTAAGTACAGCGCTTCAAAGGTCTTTAGAAAGCAACAAATAACATTCAATTCCCCATTTATTCCCTTCTCCCCCGATTACGCTTTTTTTCCCCCTAAATGCAGGGATGCATTTCTCACCAGGCCAAGATGAGGAGAGCTGCTGAAGAACCCAGTATAAAAAGAAGGAACACTGCCTTCCCGAACACAGATTCCTCCATTTTCTCTCTTCTCCCCAGCTCTCAAAGAAGAAAAATGTGTTTTCTAAATTGTTTGCCTTCTCCCATTCACTATCTAAGTAAAGACCAAACATGGTTGGGAAGCCTACAGCCTACACATTTGTTTGCTTACTCACATCAGGAGCCCACGACAACCGAAACGTACAGCTGCCTTTGCTCCTTTTCTGCGGTTCTATTAAATTACAGTCTAGAGCACACTCACAGCAGGAGTTATGTGAAGCAGCTCACAGGTCTACACTGGCCCAGGGGGCAAGAGCTGCTCAGCCTCGCTGGATTTTTTTTTCCCACAGACAGATCCAGAGATCAGAAAAAGGGAACTAGAAACATGGTTTTAAACAAACTATCATGCTTCCCACTACACAGACAAAAGCAGTTTTGAACAGTTTTGGACAATGCATAGAACAGGCTTTACATCTTCAAAGCTCGGAGATATTGTCACAACATTTTAAAGTTGATAAGATACAATACTTGATTTCCAGTAAGAGCAGTAATTAAGAACTTGTATTGCAAAACAACGTCCCAAGAGCCTTTCCCAATAGCCATGGGAATAATTCAGCTTTTAGGCATGACTCTCCATCTACTAAATATCCAGGAAATCTAAATAGCATTACCTAGACATTGTAGCGTAAATGAGTCACAGAGAAAAGGAAGAGAAAATACATCTAATGCCTTAGTGCAGGATTTAATGGGGACAGGTATACAGTAGAAGAACCAGCGTACTACATATTAGTTGCAAAACTATCTGAACCCAGACATGACAGTTGTGTCACATTACAGGGGTAGATACAGTTTTGCAACACAACTGGTCAAACAGATACTGACAAGATAAATGATTCTAGGCACTCCAACAGACGTTCAGATGCTTACATAGATGGCACGAAACCTTGCCTCTAACAGCCCAGTTCTGAAGGGGTGGGGGTGGGGGGGTGGGAGGGGGAATGTATGCCTGTACCAAGGAAAGCATTGCAAAAAATGCTACATTTTGGAAAAGAAACACTTGCAGAAACAAATCTTGTTTCACAGAAAAAGCCAGAACAGACCGTCCATGTTTTTTTGGGCTTCTGTTAGGTTTAGCTTTGGTACCGGTTAACTCCAAAGCACCAGCAGATGGGATTTTTTCTCTCCTTTGGATTTCCCAGGTGAGCATAGAAAAGGACATAGCCTCAGGTCTAAAAAACAGATAGCAAGTCTAATTTCTGTCCTACATATCCAAAGTTTCATATACACCAAATATTACCCCACAGTCAAAGCATAATGAATATTTCATTAAGGGAGTTTTCTTTGCAAATGTTTCTGAATATAATAGGAAAAAAGATAACACACGAACTCTGCAATAGCCATAATGAAACTCTGAAAGTGGTAAAAGAACGTATGTCTTAGAGAATGTCTCGACAAAAAAAAAAAATACTGACATTTCTAGCCCATTCAAAGAGGAGAATATTAAATTCGTTTAGCCTTCTCCTCCTAAAAAACATGCATTTCAAGATATGCTAACTATATTCAGTGAAAGACACATGATGCTGAACAGTTCTCATGCTGTCCACCACGACCAGAAGTCCTGTTAGACTGTCCTGTTGTCCATTACAATTAGAGAATAGCAAAGTGATGTTTAATAAAAAATAAATCCTAGCAGTACCTCACTTCCAGTAGTCTTTGATCTCTTTGCTGGAATCTCTTTATCCTATGAAAAAAGAGTGAAGAAAAGAAGTGTAGGAAGAACATTAGAGAAGAAAAATAACTTATTCACATAAATATGAATAGTACTACTTTTAAATGCGATTGAAACATCCTTCTGTGAGTATAAGGCCCTAAACTATCATATTTAAAAATATGTGCTCAGTCTCTTTTGATTGTGAAATTATAACCTTCCAGATGTTAACAGAAGAAAATAAAAATGGACAGGGACACATCCATTTTCTCCCAGTGACATAAAATGTTTAAATAGCGGTTTAGGCCTGTCCTCAACTGGTTAAAAAAAGCACATCAGAATCAGCCTCCTGTTCACTTGAAAAAGCAAAATTAAAAAGCAAAATTAAAAAGCAAAATTAAAAAGCAGTACAGAAAATAGGTCTGGAGTTATTCATCATTAAAGCTCACAAAGCTTAGATCAGAGCTAACATACAATAACTCCTTACCTTTGCCTCTTGCAAAGAAGGTAAAATTAATATAGACTTTCCTAAGGACTCTCTTCCTTTCCCCTCCCACCAGCTCCTATATTTTGCAGGAAGCTCTTCCCATGTTGAAGCAGCCCAAGTGAAAGGCTCTCCACATTATATTATAGAATAGTGATGTCTGATCAATCTATAAAATTCCCATAGTCCATAATCCATCCCTCTAAACCTTTAACTCTGGATCCAGGGACAGCAAGGCCCCCACGAATTGCGTAGGTGAAAATGCCTTTCAGTTTTCTAGCAACAGTACCAACTGGAACGGATATCTTATCAATGAGAGTCTGAAAAAGGCACATCTCTTCCCTTGACTAGTATGCTTACATCTGCTGCTCAAAACAGTTTCAGGTATATTTTTAAGCTCTCACTTTAAATAATTCAAGAGATTGATTCATTATTTCAAAGGTCTCAATCTGAACATACATTAGAGTTGTTGACTTTTCTCACCATTCATATCATCCAAAGGATCTCAGCAACAAATCAAGAAAACAGCTGAAACCTTCCCAAGCTGTCTGTGCAACAAGTATACCATAATATGCGAACCTAAGCCTAAACCAAAGACTGGCAGTTCCCATCGGTGACACATAAAACAGGCGTTTCATTATTGCTATAATGAAACTCCAGGGAGTATGGCTAACAAGACGTGAAAGTGCTCAGCTGCACCTCACGCCTTGTAATTCTCCAAAGGTGCGATTACCACTTTTCTCTTGGGCATTATTGTTGGCTTCCAATTATAATGCTCCTTTTGGGAATTAAAGAAATACACCATAAGTCACATAAGTACAGGCTGTACATCTCCCAGCGCAAGGAAATGCACACATTTAATTGCAGATGTAGAGAAATGTCATTTTAAAGGAGTAACGGTAGAAAACGAATTCTAGAGCACATAAACAAACTTTAAACAAAGAAAACTACCGTAAGATACAGGGAGAGGTTTTTTTTTTTTCCTCTCCCATTACTTGGAGCCTCAAGAAACCTAGGCTTGTTTAAATAGTTACCATTAAGTTTCACTACATGTTACTGAACTCAGAGAATACTGGGTGGAGAAAAAAAAATAAAAGTACGCTTATCTAAACAGTACCAACACAACCACTACCATTTTAGAAACAAATTGTATTTCAAGGCATAAATACATACTTCTTTAGATCCAGCAAACAGTGGAATGTCATGAAATGGAGAAATATATTTACCATCGGGATTCTCTGAAAAAACAAACAAGTAAACAAGTAGCATTACAAAGCTAAACATGTGCAATAAGATGTCTGCATTCCCAATGCCTATTATGCAATACAGAAACAAATGGTGTGCAACAATTACGTATTAACCCAACTTTGTCTCAGGTTTAATTCTAAAATTAAGCTATAATAAGCTATTCTACAAAATAAGCTATATTCAGGACAAGAACTTTGATTGTTTGACAATGATTCATTAGAATCAGAATTACTGCTATGGTAGTCAATGCTACACTTCTCTCTTCTCACTACCTGGCAACATAAGCTATGCAAAGATGAGAAGATCCTTTTATTCCCTCTTCTTCTCTTCCCTGCCAATACACAGCCATTAGTGGGAGTAAAAATGGTATGAAATACCCAGAGAACCTCAGCTCCACGAGCGATCAATGAATTTGTCTGGGTTTCTAGCAACACTGGCCATTTGGCTTCACTATATTTCTCATAAACTGAATTTCACAACCAGAAAGAGAAAATCCACCAATATATCATGCCAAAGACTGACCAACAGAATATGTAAGGGAAGGGATAACTGTGCAGGCCCTAGAACTGAAAAAAAAAAAAGCAGGAATCAAGATTAACTTCACTTCAACGCCTTCCTCCCACTGCAGAGAGGAACAGAATTCACTGGAGTGGGCACCAAAGCTTTTCAAAATACAGGGAAACTTTTAAAATGCCAAAAGTCCAAGGTGTCGCATCAGATCTGCGTGTAGACAGAAGCATCATTAGTAATGTAAGGCGCTAACACAAATCTGAAGTACTTCCTCCTCTGCCTGGGTCCCTCTCAAGAATAATGGGAAAAGCAGACAATGGACTTCATTCGGCTTTGAACTCCTGCTTTGACCACCCCAACAAGGAAGAATGGACAGCAATTGTTTTTTGCAACTCCTGAAAATTTCCCAGATGCTTCTCCCAAACAAAATAAAGTTGAGTTGTAGGCTGCTTGCTCCCACAAACTGATTGGACTTGCCCTATATGAGTTCCTGCGCAGAGCTCCCTGCGCAAGGGGGGGGACTGAACGCAAGGGAGTCCTGGCAGGGTACCACTGACAGGGAACACACTGCTGCCACCGTTTCTCTCACAGAAGTGCACATAAGAAGGAACTGCCTGGAAGTCAGTGGACCACAGATGCAAAAAATCAGTGCTAGTGATGTAAGTAGCATACAGACAGCTTTGTTACTAAAACGTGTAATACTGAGACTGCACAGCAACAACTCTTGCTGGGTTTTGAGAAGCCTATCTGAGCCTGGCTATGCTCCCAGACTGCCGGCCCAAGAGGCCGCGTGGGGCTGGTGACCCCCGTTCTGGACAGCAGCCTCCCCTCACCATGACACTTCGGGAGGGAGGGCTGGCCTGTTCACAAGGGGCCAGCGGGCAGGTGATGCTCCCCATGGGCAGCCGTGCCGCCGCAGCTGAGGTGAGGCTCCTGCCGCCAAGGCCTTGCTTGGCCTCGCAGAGCATGGCGTGGCCCTGGCCGCCAGCGCCAGGCG